TTCCAAACTGATGATGCATTTGACCCCACCTTTGAGGTCTGCCTGGTCATCTCCTACATTTAGGTTTGAAATCTGTATATATGGCAATATTCTACCGAGCAAAAAAAGTTGAATGAGTTTTATTTGTGCATTACAAATATTTATCAAGATACATAAAATAAATGCTTGTCCCATTGTGTTTACATTGAATTTAACTACATTGGAATAAATCAAGGACAGTTTTTGATGGAATTCTCATGATGTTTGATAGAGTGATATGACTTTTTTTTTTTTTTACCAATTTCTTCCTTCACACCATAGCCATAAAATATGCTGTAATGGGAGATACCAGAAGGGGAAGAAGGAATTGGTAGCAACAGCATGCTAACCTCATTTCTAATGAACTGCCTCTAGAATTCTCACATTTTCTGTTCACAGGGCAGCTAGCAGATTTGAATCCAATCTAGTAACTATTCTTTCATAGTCTGAGAGGTGTGGTGTCAGAATTTTAAATGAAATATATAGATTATTTCAAGATAGCATAATAATTTTAATCTTAAATTACTAGAATGGGTTTTACATCCTTAGACTCATTAGCAGTACTGATGGGTTATGTTCATATTGCTTTAATCCTTAATTCTCCATTCTTTTTTGTTTGTTAATCTGAATTCTATTTTGGAATTCTACTTGTGTCCCTACTATTAACAGAATAAAATGTTTACCAAATAATGCTAATTATCTAACAACCTTTCCCTTAAATATTAGATATGACTCTATGTTTTGGGGCATATAATCTTTTTTGTTTCTTTTTAGCATCATCTTGGATTTCAGTTATTGTATTTTATATACTTTGATTCATTATATGTATTTTGGTCTTTCCAATTAGCTTTTACCTTCCCGTAAACTACTTTGTAGTAGTTCTTTTAACAATTGCAACATTTTGTTTCATAGACACTTGTTTTTAGCCAACCAAGATTTGATATTTTCCTTATTTACCACCTTTTAAAAAATATCTTGGATAAGCATTTAAACCAAGCTATCGTTCTAGAATTATAGTTGTACCTTTATCTCAGATTGCTGTCATTTCAGCTAAGCAAAAATGAGAAGAGATATTGTGTCGTATTTTGCAGGAGAGGTTCCGGGTTCCATCTCTGTTTTGAATATCGTGCTGATTTAATTAACAAATGTGTTATTGCATTATAATAAGTAGCGTATCCCAACATAATACTTCCGAGTCGTGTCATAGATTCTAATAAAAACTTGAATCAATTCAAATCTATTTGTTAATTTTCACTCATGCATTAATTTAACGGCACTTTTGGCTAGCTTCTAGTTAACGCTAAGATTAGTTGTTAGAAAGTTAGGATAGGATTTTACTTTGTAGGTTAAATGATTCAGTCATTTTAGTGATAAAAGAAAATGTGTCATTTGAAGTAATATAGAAAATGAAGAAAGGTCATTCTGCTCAAATATGGGACATTTTTTAGCTTAGGATAGGAAGGGACAGTTTTCCAGTGGAGCCAATCTACCCCTTTAATAAGTTCATCTATATTCCCTTGTCACTAAGCAAGCAGAAGCACAAATGAAACTGTTCATTTTTGAAGTAATTATTGAGCGGTCAAAAGCAGATCAGAACAAATTGTCTGACACCTTTTATTCCCTCTTCCCATCTAAAGGTTCTAGTGCAGGGGATGAAAAAGACCCAAGGAATAAAATACAGCATGTAGAAAGAGATAAGAGGAAAGGACTTCCTACAAGGATTCTCAATATTGAACACATAAAGAAGAAGTCCTTCATAGTCACAGTGAGCCAGGAGACAGTACAGCAAGAGAGTAGAAAGATTTTCAGAAGGACAGATTAAGAAGGACAGTTGTCTGATCAGTAAAATTAGACATTTCACAAGTATAGATTGTCCAGAAAGTGCTCAGCTTGGATTTATACAATATAGAAATCGTGGAATTGACAAGAGCTTTAAATTTAGATACCAGTTGGCAATTACTAATATTACTTAAAGAATTGGGGATTGGCAGCATTCTTCTTGCTATGACAAAGCCAGATATGATATTGCTTCTTCATGGATTTTTTGGATGATGATGATAATGATTTTCCTAATATAATCAAAAGGTTTGATAAGTTTTAACTTCTGTTTCCGGAATACACAAAAGAGGTAGCTATAGCCAGGATCAACAATCCTGTTTCATCCCTTCTGTCCAATCAAAGGCATATGGACTTTTGGTCCAAATGGAGTGCAAAATGGATAGTTCAGTAACATAGATACATAAGACATTGGCTATCAGGGAAAATGCCATAATTATCAATGGCTGCCAGTTTTAGCCTGGGAACTGCCCAAGACAATTGCAATCAAACCAAAATGCTTTAAAGGAAGTATCAAGAATCTCCGGTCAGTGGAACTAATAGTAAAGAAAGTTCTAAATGCTCTACAGCCAGAACTGTGCTTGCCAAAATAGCAGTGCATGCACTGAAATCTAAATTACTATCCTAGAGCTGGATTTTATCAATATAGAGAGAGAGCACTTCAGTCAAAATCTTTTTGAGGATCCCATGGCCACTTCAGCAAAGATAATTGTGCATGTGGGCAAAGAAATCTGTTGGTTCACTGTGTCCCTAACTCACAGACTGAGTTCAACGGGTTGTCATGGGTGATGGTATCAAAAATTACTGACAGGTCCAGCAAGATAACCAGAAATATATATATATTTCCTTCAGGTGCTCCTACAGCTGCGCAGCCATCAGAAATACATTCAGAAATGAGTATATTTACAACTGAGAAATAGTTACAAGCACTGAATATAGTTTAATAACACATGGATCAAATGGAATAACTGCTGAATTATAAGACTAGCATTCAATTGTATGCAATTTATGAATATATAACGTAGGCAAGCAATGCCCCAGAAATCAAGCTAATTCTTTAAAATATAGTTTTGATTCTGAAATGCTGCCTATAGTTACTATATAGTCTTTTAAAATTAAACAAAGGAAACAGAAGTAAATAGAATTATCGAGAGTGAGAATGAATAAGTAAATGAATCAGCTATTGATACCAAATTATTATTGCAGAAAATCACAAATGATTAGAAAAGAAACATTTCTCCATAGAATTTTTTAATATTGGGAATCAGATACAGTCTTTTATTGAAGCACAAGTTATTTATTATGATACTGAAGACAGCAGAGGCCAATCTAAAGAGGGCAGGGCTACAAACCTGTTATATAGACTTCTGAAAATTACAATATACACTGATCAATTTAGTGGAATAATTTACTTTTAATCTTAATTGAATTGTGCATGCATGATGATGCATGATAAGGATAATGAGGGTGGTAGTATATAGACAATAACTCATTGGGTTGGAGAAAGGCTGTGATCTTGAATTAAGTTACTGTTGATGTGTTATTATTTTCTAGGTCCTATCTTCCAGAGGCCTTGCTTTATTTGTATGCATTTAACTTTTTATAAATATGTTTTATATAGCCGCAAGTCGCACACTAGTAACTCTGTATGTCTTACAAGGATGATAAGCACAGAAAACCACAACATATATTCCCTCAAGATCCAAGGATAAGCAATAACATTGCTCACAGAGAAAAAAAAAACATTTCTACAACAGGAAAGATCATCTTTCCACTTGATTCCAGTGCTTGAGGAAAACAGGCCTGTCTTAAAAAGGCTAACAGGTTTACGGCCATCCAAATCTCTGAGAGAACACTGTTCCATAGGGCAGGCGCTGGCATTGAGAAGGCACAACTATGGGGTCCAACAACATTGTTTAATAGAAGGGACCCAAAGCGTGCCTTCTCTATGAGGTCTGGTGAGGGGAACAAACAATAGGAGTCTGTTCCTGTCTCTTAGTGCCCTAATCAACATTTCTTTCTTTTATAACTGAGCTGACAGTTTATTTTGGGGAAGTGAATTTTGGGAAGAGGTCCTTGATTCTTCTGAGGCGATTGTTCTATTAGATCTTACAAGTATTAGCAAAACAGGAAGAAGGTGAGGCTGAGGGAAGTTAAATAATATGATCCTACCTTTGCTTATGAACAGAATCCTTTTCTTTATAAACATCTGAATTATGATATAGAAACATATTTGATTATTGTACAGCTATTTAGCCGGTCTTTATAAGAGTTCTGTTGTGTAATGAAATGTAGTATGTGATTTAATGATATTATATTAATTAAATGTACTTTTTATATATCCTTTCCTATCTTATGTATCTTATTCTGTTTATTCCTTTTCTCTTGCTATTTAATGTCTTAATTGATCTTCAATCATTCTGTCATAAATCATTATAGTTTAAAAATCATTAAAGCTAATTGTTCACCCTTACCCAAAAAAATCATACTTTGGTTAAAGAGAAAATGTTCTTCTGATTACAAAAAGTAAAGAATTGTTTACATTTTCATTTTTAAGTGATATTCTAGTGAATACAAGTTTCATAAGTGCACAGTTGAAGATCTTGAGTACTTCACCTACAATAGTGTCAATTATAGAAATATACAAGCCTGTTTAACAATCCTAGAATATATGTTTATATATTAATTCAGTAACATGAATGCTATTTCTGTGGCTTCTCATGTCTCTGAAAAGACAGATTTTTGGTCCAGAAACTTTTAAGTAATACACCATTTCACTCATCTACATTTACATCTAAATTATACTGAAGAGATGGGACCACCTTACAGAGTCAAGATCTAACACTTTGCATTATACTTAACGCTATATTAAGAAAATACAAATTGCAGACTATAGGGCTGAATAAGAAAGTTTATTCTGCTTGCATGTTTAAAGCACTTTACACAACATGTTTATTATAAAATAATATTTAAATATTTTTTAAAAAATTCTTGAAAAACAATAAATTTGGGATTTCAACAACTTGAAATCTCCTCTATAGAAAAGTTACTGCTATGGAATTGATTAAGAATGTATGACAGCATGTCAATTACTCTGAATGTCTGAGAGTTCCTTATCTCTGTTGTTTTTTACTATAATGTTATAGAGCTTGGATCATATGGAAAGCTAAAATATTATGACACAATGACTGAAGAAGGTAAGAAATATTTTAGATTTTTTGTGTCAGCCTTTTTATTCTTTTTTTTTAATAAAAAAACTTATCATGGTTATTTTTTTTCAGTTCCTCTCTGCATGAGATCAGTGTCATAATGTGATGTGTTACCATTTTAAGATTTTTAACCTTTAATACTATTTACTAACTTGCATTTTTAATTTTATTTTCATGCAGCATATACGATCAATATAATATTATTAAGAGCACTTACATAATATTGATAAATGTTCAATAGAATAAGCACTGTACATATTTTAAAACTTGCATTCTTCAAATAAATGTATTTACATTTATTAACATTTAGGAAAATTGTTCATCATGCTTATTGTTTTTTATATTTAAAAGTTAGAAATTGATCTTTTTGGTTCCACAAATATATTATTTGTAAATATTAGTGTTTTTGCCAAATTTCCTATAAATTAATTATATGCCTTCTACATATTAGAAAATGTTGTTACATTTCGTGTGCTTAGGAGAGCATATGAGCAGGTTGATCTGCATTTTCTGTAGTAGATGCTTAAGATTTGGACCTAAGAAGAATTAGAGTATAAAGGTCTTCACAGAGATTTTGGAAAATGAAAAACACTGAATATCACTAATGCTAAGCCTTGCAATCATGTCACTAAAGTAGAAATACGTTCAAATCTTGAATTCTGGAAGCCAATCTTACTGTAGAACTGTGTTACTGTATTTAAACAAGTGAATATCCACTTAACAGTGTATGTGACTAAGTGATAAAAGGTACACCAGAAATACTCTCAATTCTTTCTGTAACGAAAATCAAGCTCAATTTGAAGTTCAAGAGAGTATTTTTCCTTTATTTCATCTTTATATTTTTTTAAACTGCATAATTATTAAATGCTGAACTGTCATTTGTTATTCAGAAAGCCTTCATTGAATGAAAAGACAACATCTGAGTCCCGTATGTTATTGCCTTAACACATCTGTATTTAGGACAGTAGTTTTGTGAAATCATGTGAAATAGAGAATAATAGAGGAGCATCAGATACATATTTGGATTAGTACTTAGTCTGTTTTCCTAAATACAGCCTTTAATTCCATAGGCAGCAGAAGGGGAGAAGCAGCTTTTAAAATTAGGTGACTCCATTTTTAATTCTGCTATACTGTATTTCTTTGTTGAAGGGCCATTTGGCTTTGATGGTGTTTATGTAGCATCCCTGCTTATCCAGGAGTCTGTGACCTTTTCAGTGTACTTGCAAAACAATATTATATTTCTCTGATATGTAAACGGTATTGAAGAAAGATGAGTGTTGCTGTTCTCCTGTCTACCCCAATTAAGATCAGCATTTCACCTGGATATGTTTTTCTTATAATTTTAAGAAAGTATAACAAAGACTCAGATATATACAGAAGAATCCAAGCAGGAGAGTGAAAGAGAAAGAAAATTGCTTCACATCATTTCTGAAATATTTGTATTTAATTGTTGCTTTTCTGGAGAGGCAATAGGGAGCAAATGGCAAAACACACATTCCAATTTCATCACACAAGCTTGCATATATTGTATGCATCAGTCATATTTGCATGATGATGACACCACATGTATGTTGTCATTTTTGGCATCATTACAGTTTGCTTCAAATGTCCCAGCTTTTTTTTTTTAGAATTTATTTCTCTTTGGCAATATATAATCTATCAAAATGATCACAATTATTTTATATGAAGTATGTTAAAGAAAAAATTAAGTGCTATATTTAAACTGAGTCTACGAATAATTGAAAAAATTGTAGGTTTCTCTTTTATTTATTTATAAAATTTATTGGCTGCCCATCTTACCATAAGGTAACTCTTCTTTTTCTTCCTCCATTTTTAAAGAAGAACACTTATATTTGACAAATCTAAGAGTATATATTTCTATCAACATTTCACTTACCTAACAAAATCTTGCTTGATATTTCTGGTATTCTAATGTTAGCTGGGCTGATAGCTATTTGATCAAACAATGGCTGAACCAGATGAAGGATGCAAAGATATATGAGTTTCTGACTCATATATCTGTTCTTCAAGGGACAAACATATTAATTTCAGATAAACTCCCTATGATTTTTGTATTTTCCCAGATTTCCTAGACCTCTGGTATGCCTGAAAGGTTAACATGGAATTACATGTCATATCATATCATCTTTGGGAAGTATAAACATGATGACAGTCTGCCACTATCACTCAGTAACAATCTATCCTCTACTGATGGCAGCGGCAGTAGCTCCAGTATTGCACCATTATACAACTAACCACATAATGAGATTGTTTAAGTTTCAGGAGACAAAATTTACACTTTTGCTTTCTGCATTCTTCACTACTGATTTTCTATTCAAATGCAAATGTTTGTTATTTGAGAATGTGATGCTATTATTTTAGGTTCGACTTTTCCATTTATATGTTAAATGAAAGGCATGAGCAGATTACCTATTTCTCTTTTCAGCATTTTTCTTTAAAATAACAATTTAAATAGCTTGATTTTCTTTTCTTGAAGGGTAATATTTGTGTACCCTGTGCAATATTGTGTATCTTGTTGCGTAACATTTTTAAAATGCTATTTTCAAATTGTGTAGGTAAATAAATATATTGTTCTGTGAAAAACAGTGTAATAATAACTCTGAAAGATAACTCTGAAACTTTAATTCTATCATAATAGCAATTCTTTTAAAAGGATATATGTGCCAGTGTCCTAGCTGGGGAAAAACAATTGTATTGGTGACTATTACATTTCTTAAACATTGTTATTTTATAATGAGGCTTTATCTAAGCTTTCAGGTATATGCTTTTCATCTATTCAATGCTTTATTGCTTCTCATGTAATAAACTATTAATTTTTCTAAATTAATATGAAAATCAGGGACTTTGATTTATCAGGAAGAAAATAAATAAATAATCTGTAACCCAAACACGTAAAAAAAGAGAACCAAAACAATATATCTCTCTTGCCTTCCCTTGCTAAGATTGGTAGCCATTCTTCAGTACTTATTCCCTACAATTATGTTTGAACTATCCATCTAATTTAAAATAATAGGAAAGCCCAAGTCTATTTCATATTTTGTAATGAAATAAGCTTATTCTTTCTGCTGGGAAAAGTTTGGATTAGGGAACAGACCAAGTTAACAGAAGCCAAAGTGACATGCTACCCACTGAATGAATAAAAAGTGAGGCATTAGCTGAGAAATAACTTATGCTTTAACAAAGATGTGTATATTTTGTAGGAAAATTCAAAGAAAGGGCATCTATTCTTCATAAGTTGGCCAAAAAGTCCCTGGAAATAGATGGTGAACAACGGAATGGAAGAGCCAAAAATGCTGGTAAGCATAAGAGATCAGGAAGAATTGTTTCCTTCAGAACAAATATTTCATTTATTACCATAGATTAACATGACTGTCCTCCTTCAATGCTTTTCTGATATGCTAATTTATTGGAAAGTTCCTATGGCACCTTTATAATATATTGCAAAGTTGTGTATATATGTATCTTTGTGATATACACCTGAATGCAACTAAACTGTTGTTAGATCAATAATGAGACTGTTATATATTATAACACACTCTGTGCTGCTCTTGAAAAGTATTAGAAAGCTTTAACTATAGCAAAATGCATCTGCATAGGTGTCAGATATTCAACTCATATAACACCACTACTAGCTGAGCTGCAGTTGCCAGTGTGTTTCCAGGTGCAAATCATGATGCTATTTGTCACCTTTAAAGCCCTTTATGGCTTTGGACCAGGTTACCTGAGGGACGTCTTCTCCCAGTTGTTTCTACCCATCCAATTTGGTTCCATAGTTTGGGCATGTTACGGGCTCTGTCAGCCAAGCAATAGCTTGTCTTCTTTGCTATAGCCACTGCCCTCTGGAATATTATCTCCTCAGAGATTGCGATGACCTTGACTCAATTGGATTTTGTAAGGCTGTGAAGACCTGGTTATGTGCCCAGGCCTGCGACCCCGAATGTGCATAGGTCCCCATTTCCTGGCTATATTAATGCCTATGTTGATAGTTTTCTTGCTGCTGTGTATATTGCTTTTTGTATTATACTGTAATTGTTTTAAAAAAATTATTATTGTTTACTATCCAAAGTCACTTGTCTGAAATGGGTGACAAGCATTTTCCCAAAAGAAAACAGATCTGAAGAATTTCATAATTTTTCAGAATCTTTTTCATTTTTAATTATCTTTAAATTTAAACTGCTTCATTTTGTCGCATATAGCATGGCCAAGTAGATTGTCTCACTTGCAATTCACCAACTTGTTTATCCAATTTAATTTGTACTGAATTAAAACAAGATTATTATTATAACTAACTCTTGAGGAAAAAGGCTTGAGTGATTTTTTTTCAGTAATAACTGGAATGCTGAATAGATAAAACAAATTATATCTTAAACCTATCTTTCCCAATAAGATTACTTAAACCAGTTTTTCAGAGTAATGACACCTAGTATAGGATAGCTATTTCAATCCATGTCAACATTTCAGTTTGTCTGTCGTATGAGTACTCTGCATTTTGTCTGAAACTGACTTTAAAAAATAAGATACTTGAGTTCGGTTGTTCAGTGAAACTAAAGCATGAGCATAGTCCAAATTAGCCCAGTCAAAATAGAGTTGAGTGATTTATAAATTGAATAAAATACTGATTGGTTTTTCAGTTTTACATTTCTTTCTTCTGCTTATACTTCAGAAAAAATTGAAGTTGAAGTGACACCACCCACTGATGAACCAGTGCAAAATGGAACTGCTGTTGGTGCAGAAGAGGTATCATTTTTTCATTCTTGCTTTTCTCCATTTCTGTTAAATATGCTTTGTGCTTAATTCTGTGTTATCGTATCTGTGAACCATCTGTGAAAGAGATACTTTCTTCTTTTTCTTTTATTTTTGGAATTTGAGATCAGTCTTTGGCATTACAATTCCAAACAATACAAAGTTACTTTATGGAATCCAGTGCCCTTGGTTCTCACATATTATTCTCTTCAGCTACATCATTCACGAACTGCCTGGGCAATGATCACAGATAAAGGGGATAATTGTTGTGATTCCATGCCAGCCTGTGCTCCCAACAGCTGAGTCTGAGGAATCTGAGGAGGAGGTGGAGGAGGCATTTGAAGGGCCATCAGGGGCAGAGGGAGGCTCTGATGAATTACAGGACTCATGGTTTGATGCAGAGCCTGGGCCCTCCAGTCGTGTTCCTGATGAAGCTCAGCTGTGTGAGGAGAATGAGTCAGATTCGGAAGACCCACACCTGATGGACTTGCTAATTGACGCCTGCACACGTCGTCATTTAGCGAGAGTAAATCAACAGCAGTCAATGCGGCACCTCCGGAGTAAAAGGAGAAGGCAATGAGAGGCAACGCCTTGGGACTGCTGTATAAAAAGAGGAGGTGTGGGTGTGGCTGGTTGCTGAAGGCAACCGTTTGCAAAGTGCTTCTTGGAATCCTGGTCTGTTCATCTTGCTTGTGAATTGTCTTCTGTTTGCATCGTGTTTCCTGTGGACTATTTCCTTCCTTTGGACTTGAGTTTTGCTGTTTGTGTTTTGGACTATTTGACAGGTTTGTCACCCATATGAAAAGGGATTTGTTTTGTTGTAAAGTCTCCAGCCTATTGCATCAGCAGGGGTTTGGTCTTTGTGCCTTTAACAAGGATGGCAATAGGCTGGGATAGAACAATAATAATCCAGCAATATTTGCAACTTGGGGATTGAAAATCAGTGCTTTAAATGCAAATTTAATGGAAATATACCCTTGAGAGCTACATGGAGACAATGTATCTTTAAAAACCAAGTTTATTGGAAGCTATATACTTAACATTAGTATAAACAGGATTATGAAACTAAGTAAAACTAGGATTTAATAATATATGGCTTTTTGCGAGATGCTATTATATTAAATTAATTAAAGTTATTGGGAAGGTATGCTTATTACTAAAAAAGAAAAAATATGCTCATATTTTTGGAGATGAATATTTGGAGATGAATCGTAGCTTACTGAAGCTCATATAACAGTACAGTTTACATACAGTATATAAACTTAAAAAAAATCTGTTCAACTATTGCTTTGCTCATGGCAAGACCAATCAGTAATGTTTTCTTCTAAGATATATTTCTGATATTCTGTCTAAGAAATTGTGTAAGAACAACTGGCACCATTAATAAAAATATTTGGTTGCACTATGTAAAATGTTTTTTCTTGATATTCATAAATGGAACATATTATTTGAGAGACTACTTTCTTTTAACATCCAGAACGACATGCAAGTATGCATAAATGCATACACACATACTTAATAATTTTGTATCCTTTCTGGATTAGTATCATTATGCAATATTGAGTGATAAAGAATAAACAAAATAAGTTTCCAATGGATGGAAACTAATCAAGGAGAGAAGCAATCTAGAACTAAGGAGAAACTTCCTGACAGTTAGAACAATTAACCAGTGGAACAACCTGTCTCCAGCAGTGGTGAATGTTCCAACACTGGAAGTTTTTAAGCCCGACCCTGCCTGCCTGGAGAGCAGACACCCCAGCAGCACCATGGCAGCCACGATCTCTGTCCCGCCCCGCAGCATCAACTGTGCACATCGGGCGTGATGGCAGAGTCTTGTTTATGCTGCCTGGCTGCCATGTCCCTGGCTGCGCTGCTCCGCGTGGGCCATGCTCACGGGCAACTCTCCTCCAGAGAGGCTGCTGGTGAGGGAGTTGCGGGCGGAGCAAGGCTGGGGCAACGGCATGTGTGCCCCCAGAGAGGGCTCCGAGTGCCACCTCTGGCACCCGTGCCATAGGTTCGCCACCACTGCTATAGGGGAAACAGGTTGTTTATTGCATTTTAAATTTATCTGATTGGTTAAAACAGTTACATTGTTACCTTTGGTAACTTTTATTAGATTTTTACTGATTAGATTTAAATAGCGAGGTTTGGGGGATTTGTTTAAAAATAAACAAAATGAGACAGACATAAAAGAGAAGAATTCAAGTGTTAGGGTTTTCTTTAGGATCAAGTTTATAATAGATATATAGTTATTTCTGGTAACTCTTAATGGACTTTTGCTGATTAAGATGGATGATAAGGCTTTAAAGATTTGTTTATAGAGAATGAGGGAGGAAGAGATTGCTGTATTTTAAGAGTGTTGATAAGAGGTGTTAAACAATATTTAAGAGATGTTAAAACTATTTATATTTGCTGAGATAAAGAGGGAAGTTACTACCTTTTAATTGTTGTTGGGTTTTTTTGCATTTTTTTATTACTCTATCTTTCATACAGTAGTTGGTATTAGTTTTAAGTCTACAATATAATCTTTAATTTTTTAAAAAAGAAATAAACAAAAAACTTTGATTTTGTAAAGTTAAAAAATGATAAGGTCCAGAAATAAGATTTTGGAATTAATTATAAGAACACTCCTAGGGAAAATGCTGTTAATTCTTTTTTAAAAAGATGATAGGATAGGACTTTGAAGGTTGGACATTGAACCTTTGAAGGTTCTAGAGGGAACTAGAAGGTTCTAAATGTTACAATTAAAGAGAAGAACACTTAGCTTTGACTTACTTTTACAGAATAGAGCAAAATATTTTAACATTGATAGGACATATTAAAAATATTTTTGAACAATGGACCCTGTAAGAGTATTTGTCTCTATAGATACTGTGTTTAAATGATGTTATAAAAGAGGAACAAGTTTTACCAGACAAGACTGAGGCTGATCTGAAAGCAGATTTGAAAATGACAGGCTACAATATAGAAAAAGATACTACACATGTCCTACAAAAGCTGTCTTAATTAAAAAGGACATACAAACAACAAACCAAGAGGATGACCTGGATAAATTTCCAGATTGGACTTATTAAGGTTTTGAAGAATTTTGTGAGAAGGGACAAAGAAAAAAATGGGGGGAAAAATCAAGTTCTAGGATTTTATTTAAAGGGATTAAACAATAAGAGGTAAAAGGAAGAAATATAAAGTTGGTTTATATCCTCACGTTTAAAATAAATTTGTTGTTATCTCTGGTAATCTTTACTGAACTTTTGTTGATCAGGACTGAACTCATGAGGTTTTAGGGATTTATTTATAGATAAGAGGTTAAATATTGAAAGAAGAGATAATTTTTTTGTATTTTAAGAGGTGATAAATTATTAAAATTGCTTATATTTGTGTTGAAGGGGGAAATAATTTGCTTATATGTTTCTTTTCTTTTTATTACATTCTTATATTTTCTTCCTTTTCTTTTAATCTTTTTTTAGCTTGTATTAATTTTTTTCAGGAATTTTATTAAAATTATCAATAAAATTAATTATGGAATATTTGTACAGCATCATATAAGAACGTGATGTAATGTAATATAATGCAATAAAATATAATGAATAATATTTTATATACTATCCTGTAGAGATTCAAAGTCAGCTGAATTATTTTCGTTTCTGACTTTCCTAAAAATAATCTTCAACTTTATATTCTCATCTTCTTTTCTCAGGCATGTTCCTTTTTTTATCAGTTTCTATGGAAACCAGCAAGGAACGAAAAATATGTGTGCCTAACATTACAAAGATAATGTTAAGTAAAAGAAACAAGCAGCCTAGTTCTAACAAGGAAGCAAGCCTTTTGTGATTTGCTGTATGATCATTAAGTGTGTTATTGAACAACTGTAATTCAATGGGTCCCTGATACACCAGGGTGTTGATTAGTTCATATCAATAAAAGTTCTTGTAGGAAGTGTCTCTACATATATCTATAACCTCTTTTACCAAAGTAGCCTGAATTTTATCAAATTCGGGCTAGGCAGTTATGTTTATGTGATTTTGTGCATACAATATAGTGAGGGGCTCCATTTAAAAAACAGCTTTTGAGGGGATGCCAGAGTAGAAAATATACATTTAAATGGGTGAAGCTGAAAGATCATTAATCTCAGCTGCAGTGTTATGGCTCTTTTTATAAGGCCTGTCACATTGGTGTTAAATTTCTTTTAGCAGCATAATAGCCATTTTTTGGTTTAAAAGGACAAGCAGAAAAGCAAACTGTGCTTATGTAATTTATTTCAATCTGTACTTAACACCACACTATAATTAGTTACAGTGAAGAAGAAAGCAGTTTCCCCATCTTAGTTTTTAATGGAGTTAATAGGTTGGATTCTGTTCTTTAACTCCTTTTCCATTGTGTGCACAGTGAGTCTGTCACTCAAAACTGGAATGACTGCAATTAAAGGGTTATGTGTATTATCTCAGCTAATTGATATCTCACAGGTGTTCCAAGAGATAAATCAGTTTTCTCCTTCAGGAGAGGAAAGAAGAATATCTTGCAATATAGCCATGTGCATATCTACATTGAAAAAAGGAGTAACGATGGTTTTATTTTGTGGAAAAGACCAGTAAATTGAAGTTTGATTTCTCCCTGTTCTTAAACTCTTGATCATCAGCTTTGTTGTATTTAGGAAGAAATATTATTGTTCTTTACACCCCTCTTTTGGTTGCAAAAAACCCTCCACCATTAATACATGTGAAATTTGCTAAAAATATTGATAGCATTTTCATTTTCTTTGAAAAGCAAAAAGTTTGAGGCACTTTAAAATAATTAAATGAATGATACTTCAAAATCCCAAACTAACTTCTGTGCAAATTTGTATGCTCCACCCTCTTCAAAATTATAACCTTCTAGTAAATTTGATTTCATTATGTAATAAGAAAAAATAGATATTTTCAAAATAGGCTTTAAAGAAACATAGTTCAAAAATTTGTATGCTGCATCTCCTTATCTATCTCCTAATGATCCACCTTTCCTGAAAATTTATCATGGAATGATAAAAAGAAACAAAAGTTGCAAATATTTAAATTTTTAAATTTTTCCCAAGTCATATATTGGGTGGGGAGAGTTTGTTTTTCTGAATGTACTTCTAGTCTATGAACAAACTGGATCAAAATATACCTCAGAAGATCCCAGAGCAAATAAGGTTATTTCTGGAGTTACAAATCTGGACATCAGACCATCTCTATAATGTTTATAGATCTCTAGTACATTGTCAGGTATACTGTGTGGTTCAGGAAAGTTAAGTTTATTGGTTCTAATAAGTCTGTATAAAAGTTGTGACTGCACAGCATCTCTTGTTGAATCATTTGAAGCCCAAGTAAAAAATATAATCTGCAAAGTCTATATAACCTTTTTTTGCTTTTATCTGATTTTTGTCAAAGCAAACTGCTTTCAAATATTATTTTCTATGGTGTATTTAGCAAACTAAATAAATGTATATATATGTGACTTGGAGGAAAGAATATAGTGGGCAGAAAGGAAAAGAAATACAACATTTTTCTCTCCATTAAAAATGTTGCACATATATTTAAGTTGAGTAGGATGTACAGTTTTCCTTGCTGAAAGGATAAATTTAATAGTACAGCGATATCATTTTGGAGAATTGATTCATATATTCCATTACTGTTCCTATATCATGAGAAAGTCTGAGTAGGAAAATAATTGTTAAATCTAATGTACAGTATAAAATACAATTTGAGTGGTTTTCCAAGTGTACAGACAAATGGATTCTGTGTTTGGAACAAGCACATAATCGATCAATGCTAGAAACTCATCTTTCTGCAAAATAAATATTTTAGAGAATATTGAACATAATGATGTAAGATGTACCGTAACCTAGATGAAGCTAAATGCCTTTTTTATTCCATCATTTCTGTAATAGCAAAAAGTGCTTTGGAAAGCGGCAAACTTCATGAAACTTCTATTTCTTTTTAAAGCCATTCAAGTTGATAGTCAAAGAGTATGATGAAGCTGGTCATCTGTGTGAAAGGAAAGAAATGAAATATTAACTTAGGGTGTTCTCCCTCCTCCCAACCTCCTCCCTGGAAAAGAGATATAGAGATGGCCTTGAAGAAGGACTTCAACAACCATTATGTACAAAAAAAATCAGCTTAGGAGTAGACAGGAGGGGGTGAGGAAAAAAATGAAGATTACCATGTCTTGATTCTCCTTAAGATAAGCGGGAATAAAGAGAATTTCTGACAGCCTTCAAGATTATGTTATAACACCCTATGAGGAACACAAAATTATGCACAAAAACCTCAGTAAGCAAAATTCTTCAAAATCTGGTATACATTTTATAGCATTGCTGGATTTTTTTTCTTCAATTTATTTTTTTTTCAAATAGCAACTGAAGACAGCTTGTTGTAGACTTCCTTTAAACTAATTAAGTACAAAATGTTTCCATTTTTTCATTTAAATTAATATTGTCCTTTTTTTCCACAACAGGAAGATGATGATGATAGTCAACCCCTCAGTCTGGCCTGGCCTGATACGCCCCGGAAGCAGTTTACGTATCTGATTATTTTGCCTGTCGTTTTTCCATTATGGGTGACTCTACCTGATGTTAGAAATCCAGTGAGAATGACTGTTTTTACTTTTATTTATGAATTGAAATGTAAAATATGTTTGTAAAGGACAGATTTAGCCTTGATACTATGATTGAGTATACATAAATAAGTTCATTTTCAGCTTCCATTAGATTGTTTGGGGGAGAAAATATTTGATAAAAATGTCATGATAAATGACATTTGGTTTGAGCTTTTGGAGACCTTGCCTGGCAGACAATAACAGTGAATACATTGCCATTTACTTGTATAAATATTTAATGGCAACCTATAAAATATTTTATTAATAGTTCTTTTATGTTTGTCTGCATGCCTGCTTCTTTACATGTCTATTAGACTTTATATGCAAAAAAAATTTTCCCCTTGGACTATGCAGACACCCAACATATTTTCCATCTACAGCAATTCTAAAGCTTCTGCAATAATTTAACATTACTTTAAATCCCAACAACACCCATCCATTGTTAAGCTCTTTTAAGAGTCATTGATTTTCAAAAGGCAAGTTTAGAATAAATGGTCTTCCAGAGTGGTAAGAGACCTCTTAGGTCTCTTGAACTTAGATTCTGTTCTTCAGCTTCTCTCTCAGATTGCCCTGAACAAGTGTGGGTTTATTTTATTCATCAAATTTGTATAGTTGTCCGTCTCACAAAAAGCAACTCTGGGCAGCATACAGCAAGCCCAAATATAAAACAACAAATATAACAATATAAACATCCGCAGTAAAAGACAAATATTACAAAAACAAATATACAAACCCTAAGCAAAGAGAGGAGAAAAATGATCACCTTAGTAATGGAGCTATTGGTTCCCTGGGAGCCCTGATAACATAACCAGGTCTTGAGGGACTTCTGGAAAAACCAAAGGGATGGAGCTAATCTAATTTCGGGAGGGGGGGGAGGGTGGTAAATGTTCCATAAGGTGAGCACCATGACAAAGAAGTCATGTCCCCTGGAATGCATCAAATATAGTTCCCTAAGTGATGTCACCCACAACATGTCTTCTCTGCCAGATCTTATGGGGCAGGCTGATGTAGTGGGTAGAGGTGGTCCCTCGGATAGCCCCATCACATGCCAACCTCAGTTTGTTACCTTAATTCTTCAGACTGTCACAGCTTTCTTAGATTAGTTTCAATCCCTGGTTTGACACTGTCAAAGCAAGAAAGGCAGTCCATGCTTTTCAGTATGACAACCTCCACATTCATTTGTAAAGAAATGCTACAAAGCCCTTCTAAAATCAAAGACCAGGAAAGCTACAGTAGAATACATGAATTGCAGCAGTTAAGAACTTTTCCTGGTTCTGGCACTTAATTAACAGTTTTCTCACTGTTAGATGTTTTGGTCCAATCTGCAAATGTATTTATTTGTATACATATATATATTATATTTGGAGACCACCATCTCATTGAGATCTGCTGGAGGATTGCTTAGAATTGTCTGCAAATTTTCTGTCCACAGAAACTTCTCCATTCTTAGGCTCCATGAGAGATAATTCATCTCATTAGGATGAGCTGAAGGAAATCCTCCTCCCATTCCTATAATAGATAGCATTGAGTTATCTACACAGGCCAATTGTCCTCAATCTTTCTTGGACTCACAAAAAATCTTTCACCTCAGAGAAATTTACTACGGGTGCTTCAGAGCCCATACCTCTCAGGGAATTGCACAGCAAGTGTCCAAATGAAGTCAGAAACACTTGCATGAACTTGTAGTTTTCTATAAATAAATATATTTAATATTTATATTTACAGCAGACAAGATAATCAGGTACACAGGAACATCATGAGGTAAAACTTTACAGCATACAGAACACATAGAAGAAAAAGGCGGGAAAAAAGGGGGAAAAACCCCTTTACATGCACAGCAACCAATCATAACATAGTTTGCCTCATGCAGGAGCCAGTAGTCTCCAACCAATTAACTACATTTGTGTGTTCTAGCCCATTGTACACTTTACCGTTCCAGCTATTAAATTTAATATCCTAACATATACTTATATATTCAATTTGGAGACCACCATCTCCAAAGAGTGACTTCAAATATCCACAGAATCTTGAGAAAACTATTTCCAAAATATTTTTACCATGGAATCATTGGACAATTCAGCTGTAATCTACTCTTTCCCTGTGACTTTCTCTCCTCCTGTGTCCACATTTAGGTCAAATAGTTTATTTCACAACCAAAACCTGAAAATTACATAGGAGGAAAAGTATCCAACAGAATTATTAAAGGAGAACTGCTGGACATTAGTCCTGGTTACCCATATTAACACTTCAGCGTATTTTCTTATTAATTAGAACTATTCCATTGTTACCCAGTTCTATAAAAAGAAAAATAGATTACCGGTAGTCTCTGCCAATGTAACTTTTACATTCCAACATGACTTTAACAGTGTATCGTTCACCCTGTGGGAACCTCTCTGCAGCTATCAATATTAAATAGGGATGCGGCAGGACGTGTATTCTAGCCCCTCTGCTATTTATCTCAAGCATTAACTCAATAATACATGTACGTAAGCAGTCTATTAGGGACATTGCTTTTCAAACCACTCTAAATGTAGTCCCAGTCTCAGCAGTATGTGGCATCTTTTCAGATGTGTTTATGCCAGTCTCCTATCTTTCTTTTACTAGTGCTGAAATTGTGCGAGGGCTTCATTCTGGTCAGGCTAGATGCATTGCTTTCCATTGGGGCATTTCAAAAGTCCTTGAGCTACGTGCTCTTTTATTGTACTTTCTACAGACTTTTAATCATTCTGTCTAGAACAGTGATTCTCAACCTTTCTAATGCCGTGACCCCATAATACAGTTCCCCATGTTGTGGTGACCCCCAAGTGGGTGTGGCCACCAATAAGAGGGAGTAGGACAGCTAGGGAAAAGGGAAAAAAATGGCGGACAGCATGGTTTGGTGACCCCCGTGAAATGGTCATTTGACCCCAAATGGGGTCCCGACCCACAGGTTGAGAACCACTGGTCTAGAAATAATTATCTAGCAGAGAGTATTACTTATATTTGTCATTCTTCTGTGCAGGCATTGTTTACATATATCTTCCCGGGTTGCCCAATTTTGTGCCTCTATATGCACTATTCAACTAATTATATTAGTTGTTTTTATTTTAAGTCTCCATTTTTCCTTTCAATTTGTATCTAATTGTCGACTTTGTGATTATACAAGATTTGAGTTGAACATGAATTTGATTTCAATAGGTAAAAAGAAAGAAATCAAGTTTGGCACAAGTAGTCACAAAACTTGGCAAATCACTCTGACTATTTATAAGTGATTTGATAATAGAGGAAACAAGGGGTATGTAATCACATCAAATTATTCTCAATAACAGGTTGGAAAAATGTGAATTCCATATTGTGAATCATTACGAAAGGGATCAAAACTAAAATTGCCTAAATTTTATCAACAGTGGAAGAGTTCCAGTTGCCAGAACTGTGTTTTGATGAGAAACCAATGTTTTAGAACAAAAAAGCTAATAAGAAATAGAACTGATAAATATAAACACTAGTTTATATCCTTCCTTGAAGTTATTATATGGATTTCTCATATTCTGACAAAATATTTCAAAACTGAATGCAAACGGTCTTGCTTATATAATGTAATCATAGCATACCAATTATAAATAGCTACTAAGTAAAAACTTACCTTTCCTAGGTATCTATCATAGCGACATAAGAACTGAATTTTATGTAATGCATGCACTCCCAAGTAATATAGTACTTTTTATGGGTGGGATCCATGTTAATTTGATGAAATTTTGTTTGAAACTGATAAACCCAGCCACACTGTACTGTATATGCTATGTTCGTGGAAAGGCTTACGATATTGCAGAATGAGTACATTTAACATGTTTATTATTATTCTCTTTCAGTCATCGAAAAGGTTTTTCCCTTTCACATTTTTTGGATCCATCTCCTGGATCGCTGTATTTTCTTATCTAATGGTCTGGTGGGCGCATCAGGTGAGCTATTTAATGGATTTGCTCTTATGTTTCGGCTTATATTTAATTAATTCCATTGATTGATTCAATAATTAATTGAAAATTATTTTAAATGTGAGTTGCCCAGAGTCACTTGGAGTTGGGTGGCCTCCAAATTTCATGAATGGATAAAAATTGTTTAAATATTTCACTAAATCACATGCTAATGCATTTTCTCCATTGACATTTTAAAAGACAGGCTTTTTAGTAACTTTAGTTTTCCATCTTGATAATTGGGTATGCTATATATACAGAGGGAATGGGGATGTCAGGACTGAGAGCTGAAATTGTTTCAAAATTACATTTTGCAATCCGAAATAAATTTCCAGAGTTTCCTATAGTATGGGAGGAAGCAAACAGCAACATTCAGCTGTCTAAATAGAATAGAATAAGAGAGTTGGAAGGGACCTTGGAGGTCTTCTAGTCCAACCCCATGCTCAAGCAGGAAACCCTATACCATTTCAGACAAATGGTTGTCCAGTCTCTTCTTAAAAACTTCCAATGTTTGAGCATTCACTGATTAATTGTTCTAACTGTCAGGAAATTTCTTCTTAATTCTAGGTTGCTTCTCTTCTTGATTAGTTTCCATTCATTGCTTCTTATCCTGCCCTCAGGCGCTTTGGAGAATAGCTTGACTCCCTCTTCTTTGTGGCAGCCCCTGAGATATTGGAGCATTGCTATCATGTTGCCCCCTAGTCCTTCTCTTCTTAAACTAGACATACCCAATCCCAGCAATTGTTCTTGATATGTTTTAGCCTCCAGTCCCCTGATCATTTTTGTTGCTCTTCTCTGGACTCTTTCTAGAGTCTCAACATCGTGGTGGCCAAAATGTAAATTAAACATTAAAACAGTCAGAAATCTCATTACCACAATAAAATTAAAAAATCGTAATTTTGGGACAATTGGAAGAAGTGCTAAAAAGGGCTGAAATCAAATCAAATATTTGTTATAGTCATGGGCCAGGATAAGAAGAAGATACCAGGTTTAAGACCAAATGTACTGAGTACTTTAGAGACCGAATACAAGAATCAGAGTTATTTTCTCCTTATTTACCCTCTTTATCTCTCAAGTTGGGACAATCAGAAAAGGGCTCCCAAGATGAACTTCAAATAACCCTTTTGGAAAGAAAGCAACCCTTCAGACAACCAAGTCTTGACATATTCAGGACCATCCGCTTTTCAAACTAAATAAAATTAATGCAGAAAGGCACTTCAGAAGGGAACGATGCAAGTCTTAGAAACAAGTTTCTTTTGAAGCCTTTTGTATTATTGAAATTGCCCAATGTCATAGTGCTATTGACATGCCTAGTACATGAACAAGGCGTTCAGTTGAGGCACTCAGGTTCTGGATCAAGTCTTTAATGCTCTTCATAATGCTTTGTCCCTTGGTAACATAATGCAATTTGAGTTAATATATCACTATTACCTTTGTTTTCAAAATGTGTTCCAGTTACATTCTGTTTTTATATTGACATTTATGGTGATTTTCTGGACTAAAGCACTTAAAGGTCACCTAGATTAAACTAGAGTTATTTTAACAAACTAACATTAAAGCAACAGTGTTTTAAAAATCCTATAGTTTTGAAAAAAAACAAAAGAAAAATCAGCAACAAAGAATAGGCAGGCTCTGTAAAACAACCCAACTAATTGTTAGCCACTATTGGAGACTGAAACAAGATGACTAAGGAAGAATTTCACTGGATATGAAAAAAGAGTAAATTATGAAACAGCAAATGTAGCATTTTTATATACCTTTATGCGGGGGGTCCCTAATATTTCTATACAGATATTTCTTGATTTACAATAGTTTGTTTGGCAACCATTCAAAGTTACAATAGCACTGAAAAAAGTGACCTGTGACCATTTTACACCCAACCGTTGCATCCCCGTGGTCACATGATCAAAATTCAGATGCCTGGCTACTGATTCATATTTATGACAGTTACAGTGTCCCAGGGTTACATGATAGCCTTTTACAACCTTCTGACGAGCAGAGTCCACGGGGAAGCCAGATTCACTTAACAACTGGGTTACTAAGCAACTATTCACTTAACAAGGGTTGTGGCAAGAAAGGTTGTAAAATGGGGCAAAATTCACTTAACAAATGTCTCACTTAGCAACAGAAATTTGGGGCTCAATTGAGGTCGCTCAGTTGTCTTTGGCAAATGATTTTGTATCTTTGCTATTTAGGTTGGAGAGACCATTGGAATCAGTGAAGAAATTATGGGCTTGACCATTTTAGCTGCTGGTACCTCTATCCCTGACCTAATCACCAGTGTCATTGTGGCACGAAAAGGACTTGGGGACATGGCAGTCTCTAGTTCTGTAGGAAGTAACATCTTTGATATCACTGTGGGGTAAGTACTATTACTGTCAGCTCCTTATATATTTCATTCATTTACTTTTACTTTCAGGTGCTCAAGATTTAATCAGCAAGGCTAAGGCTTCAAGGCACATTGCTTTGGTTAACAGGGAGGCACTGCTCAAGGGAACACACTGCATACTGAGAATCTCTGTTAACCTACATGAACTTTAGTAATTACAGTTGCTTGAGCTTTACACACTGAGAAATATAAACTCACTCTCTTATGCACTTGCTCAGCTACGAAAGTGTTAATTTGCAGAGTTGGGGAACACACGAATGTGCTCAGCAGATGTTGGTGAAAGCCTGCCCAACTGGAGATCTTCTGACTGAATCCTATATAGCTTTGCCTTTTATTTTCTGCTAGTTGTATTCCTTCATGTATTACCTCACCTGTTCTTTTGTTGAAATTAAGGTTGCTGAGTCAAACATGGCTTGTTGTACAGCAGTTAATTTTCTTACCTCTGGTTGCTATCATCCAATCCTTACCTAATTTCAAAGCTGACCTCCTTATCTTTTCAGACTGCTTGCTCTTTGTTCTTCTCTATGGTTGAATTTTGGTCATTACATTCTATCCCCTTCTCCCAGCAAATGGTCACATCATGGGAAGAAAACAGCATAATTTACACACAAAGCAACCTAATGGTGGGAAGATGTAGCCTCCTATTTCAGTGGTTGCGGAAAGAGATGGGTCTTCAAGACTCTTTTGAAGATAGTCAGGATCAGATACTTGCAGACCCTGGGAGAGCGTCATTCAAGTACAGCATCAGAGAAAGTCCATCTTCTGGACTGAGCAAGTTTGACACGACTTAATAGATGGGATCCAAAGCATGCCAGCCTTATTGGTTCTTACCAAATGGCAGAGACAATTGGAGACAGGCAATTCCACCAGTATCCAAGCACTTACAGATGATAAGTAGCATGGTAGATGGATTATATGAGTGTAATGAGGCATACCCAGTGCTTTTTTTCTAAAAAAAAAAAAAAAAAAAGGTGCCGGAATTCACACATGTCATACAACCCGCCTGGCCTACCCTACAAGGTTCCATTCAAAAAAGGTGCTGGAATTCCGTTCTGGGCATTCTATGAGAAAAAAAGCCCTGGGCACACCTAAGACTGCATTCAGGATCAGCTGTAACCCCAAATGGCCTTTAAAGATGGGGGCATACTGACTAGGTTTATTTCATCTGACTCTTAGTAATTTATTTAAATGTTAGTCAAGATATGGTAAACTATTATACCTCATCTCTGTTTCAGAGATGAATAGTGTTCTCAAATTGTGAAAGAGCTATCCCATATTTTAGTCTTTCTTCTTGCTTTGGAGAGAGGGAGAGGGAGATGGGGGGGGGGGGAAATGGCCATATTCTACATCAATCCTGAGAGCTTGAACCCACTTCAGCCAGATAATCATAAGAACAGGATATGGATACAAGGAGCCAGTTTGGTCCAGTGGGGGAAACCAGTTTTGGTCTAATGGTTAAAGGCTAGAAAGCAGGAAACTATGAGTTCTAGTCCCGCCTTAGCCAGGAAAGCCAGCTGGGAGACCTTTCTCTCATCCCAACCCACTTCACAGGGTTGTTGTTGTAGGGAAAATAGAAGGAGGAAAGAGTATTAAAGCCTTTTCGGCCATTGTACCTGCCCTGGAATATCACGTTCCCCCGAGATGAGATCCACACCCACTCTTTTGGCCTTCCAAAAGGGCTTGAAGACCTGACTCTGCCAACTGGCCTGGGACCCCAACGGAGGAGCATCATCCTGGAGGTGGTTAATGGATTAGACAGAACCCACCTTTTCCCCATGCACACTTTTCTCTCTTCCTCTCATCTCCATCTTCATCAATTGAACTTTAACTGAACTTTAAATTTATGCTCTTTATTTATTGCCTTAGTGTTATATATGGTATTTTATATGTTTTATATGATATTTTTATTTAATGACTATAAGCCAACTATAGTCATCTTGATAAGATGGGCAGCAAAGAAGATAAATAAATATTAGACATGTTTGCTGCCTAGGGTGTGTGTGTGTGTGTGTGTGTGTGTGTGTGTGTGTGTGTGTATGTATATGTAAGGTAAACAGAGCTGCATGGTGCTGCTGGAATTGTATTTTGCATTATCTGAAAGGCTACATATTTCCTACCCTTGCTTACATACAACAGGGATGACTTTATTGTGTTGCCTAACCACCACAATAGAAATTGCATTGAAATATGCTTCTACCTCCCAGAAATCAACTATTGTTTATCCCTGAGAATAACCCCTAAAAATAAGAAAGTTGACCATTTCAATGCTGCTGTTTTCTAGAGGTAGAAATATCATTTTAATATCATCTGCTGCGGACATGTAATGATTCTTCTAGTTGTCAATTATATATAAATCACACCACCTTTCAATTAGCAGCAAAACGAGCTTTTACTGGCTTTTTTTCTTCAACAGCCTTCCTCTGCCGTGGTTCATCTATACTGTAATTAACAACTTCTCCCCAGTGGAAGTGAGCAGCAATGGGTTATTCTGTGCTATTGTTCTTCTCTTCATCATGCTTCTCTTTGTCATCCTCTCTATTGCACTCTGCAAATGGAAGATGAACAAGTTCCTAGGTTTTACCATGTTCGGGCTCTATTTTATATTCCTGATTGTCAGCGTCCTTCTGGAAGACAGGATTATTGTGTGCCCCGTGTCAGTCTAATAGGACGGAAATACTCCTTTGGGAACAACAATCAAACCGACAACAACTGAAGGGAAAAAAACTAAAAACAAATTGTATCTTTAGAACTGTCCAACTTAAAAACAATAGAAAAAAAGAGGAATTGAAATCAATTTGTGGACAAATGCAACCGATGCAGTAGCTGTCACCGAACAAAAATGACACGCAGAGTGAAAACTCATAACTTTAAATATGCTCCAAGAAGCTTTCACTGCTTATTTGTTGGAGGTATGATACATCTGTTGTTTATGAGTATATTTAGCTTCTTGCATGGGCTCTGTTTAGGATCTAGTTCCATGCTCGTTTTTCAATCTGTCTGTAATATATATATATAAAACATATATATGTATATCAAAAAGAGAGAACTGCATCTATAAATAGAAAGAATATTATCTATCTTTGGAAACAGCAATTCCTATTTAGGATTGTACATATTCATTTTAAACTAATAGAAGAGTTATCCAGCACCGACAGCAGAAGCAATATGACAAATAAGAGAAGGTTGTGGAGTGATACAGTTTGCACGTCACACATTTGAGACTCATGAAGAATTTTAGAACTGAGTTAATGCAAGCTGTGTTGGCTTTCCAGCATCTGAGAAATGGTAACCAACAAGGTTATCATGGTGGCTCCGGTAACATTACTCACAAATTATTAGGATGAGGTTTATTTATTATCAATCATCTATATCTTGTCTTGTCTTATCTATCTATCTATCTATCTATCTATCTATCTATCTATCTATCTATCTATCTATCTATCATCACCTATCTTCAATAGTTCACAAAGATAAAAGACAAATTTACAATTAAAACATCCCCAGTGGATTAAAATTCAAATATTTTCACATATTTTGTATTTTCAGATGACAATGTATTGCTGTAACCTATGACTATGTATAGAAGAAAAGGAACTTTCCCAGATCAGATGGGAGAGGTTTTGTATTGCCTTTTCAGCAGTTTGTAAAATAAGTTGCACATCATGAGGGATCAGAAAATCGAGCGATGTTTGTGCCTGCCTTCATCTGTAAGTTTTCGCCTGACAGATATTTGCTGACTGGTTAGGGCTTGCTGGAAAGACCTCTGTTGTTCTGCAGTTTGTTCTCTCTATATATAGCCTGATTGTATCAGAAGGACATCGGAGATGCTGAGAAAACCTTCATGTAAGGATTTGATGTCTCTTCTACAGTTACTAAGTGCAGCAATACTGTAATAATACTAAACCATTTTAAATGCTGTTTTCACAAATGTGTTTGCTTTCTCATCCATAAGAGGCTATGAAGCTTTGGAAATAGAATTTTAAAACTGCTGTGTGATGGGTGCAGAGGCAAAACTGAATGTATTCTGTGGGTTTATTTTCTTTTGTTACTTGCAGAGCTTTGCAGTTCCATTTTTATTGTTTTCTAAAGCTTTTGAAATGTGTGGGAAAGTGGAATTGCTGAACTGAAATTAGAATTTTTCAAGGCTGCTGCAAAGTGTTGAATGCAGCTCTGATTGTTAGATCAACAAATAAAATTCTGTTCTGCTCCTCTAGAAACGTCAGGAAGAGCAGCATTTCCAGTATCATAGAGGATCAAAAGAGGTTTGGTGTTTCTATGACCTTGCATTAACTAGAATGGCTGAAACAGCAACTGTCAGCAAACAACATGCAGCGGTTGTCTGTGCTATTCTTGATCTTGTTAGAATGTAGTACAATTCCTATGAATCACGCATCACCAGTGTTCATCACGTATTAGGTCACCCATGCATAATAGAAATTTGGTACCTCACATCTTTGGGAAATTGCTTCAACGTTTTTGCTATTTTGTTTGTCTTGTATTTGCACTTTTGTTCTCTACAGCACTTTTTAAAAACCCTCCATTGTATTCCATGTATAAATATGTGGATAGCAACCTAGTACTTCTTAGAAAAATCAAGTGTATGTGAAAACAAATATGTCTATTTTTTAAAAAATTGTGGATGTTGAAATAATTAAGAAAGTTACCACAATAATTATTGTAACAATCTGCCGTCTCTTCTTTGGATGGATGTAATGGTTGAGTGACTGACTGGTTGATTGCCCGGTTGACTGATTTATGGAATAAGATAACTCCATCACTACCTTGGGCATCTTATTACATGAAACAATTAAAAATACAATAATACAGAGATCCTACAGAACAAATGTCCAGAAAAAGAATTTCAGCCTCATCTGAATGAACGTCTCACAAAGGGGTCCACAATCACTCCAACCCAAGGCCTGGGGCACAGGCCTGGGTTTAAATACTTCTTTCAGTAGCGTCAGAGTGGGGATCTACAAATTTCTAGGGGAACCTTTTTCCACAGGGTAGACACTATGTGTCTTTTCAGGTGATGTTATCTAATTGATGGCATGCTGTCTGGTTGTATAAGACAGGTGGACACTACAGAAGAAGGATGGCCTCTCAAATAATCAACCTTTATGCCATAAAGAGATAGGTGATAATCGGCACCTATAGTTGTCTGGAGATTTGAGATGAACAGTTGAGAATCATCAGCACTCTGAAGATGCCTAATGGCAAACCAATGGATAAGCTTCCCAGCAGCCTCATGTAGATATTCAACAGACCTATCAGGAAATTTTAGATCTTAGATATTCTTGAAATGTCTGGTGAAACTAAGTTATGATGAGTTTTATCTGGTTTTGGCTTACCATGAAATCAGCCATGGTTTATAGTTTATTGTGTTTATGCAAATCCAGCCTAATCCATGCTTAAGCAAATGCTGACTTGCTTAATGTGAAGCCTAAGGCAGCCATGGTTAATAAAGAAAAGGATTCTCTATTTGTTCGTCATAAGACCCAGAACCTGAAATTGTATGCCTTCTTCTTACTGGCAGTGTATTTTAAATGCAGCCTCATCATATGCATGCTATTTTTTTTCCTGATCTTTAAGATTTATCTTAATCCTTTTCTCCCTCAACATCTGTCCAAATGCACAAAAGAAGTATCATTATGTTGTATATAAATATTTAGGCTAGGATTTAAATTAGGCTTCTCATATTACAACCACAAATGTCAGAGATGAAAACTCTTTTGGACATCTTTAAACAGTTTGAATCCTGGCATTAACTTGGTCAACCCCATTTATATTCTCAAGACCTTCAAATAACTTTTTCTCATGTAGAATTCTTATTTAAGGCAATGATTTTTCTCTGTGAGGTAATGCTGGCAGTTTTTAGCTAGTCAGGACTAATGGAGCAAGATAGCTTTTCAAGAGCCCCCTTTACTGATGAAAGAACCACATTTACTAATGAATATGTTACTATAGCTATAGGTATATAGGTATACCCCACACACACACCTGTATACACACATTGTTTTTATTCAATAGTTCTGTTGAGTATTGCTGCACATTTATGCCTACAATAAAAAAATGTGCAAAATATAAGTAGTTTCCGTGGCCAGAAGCCAAAGGCTTTAATTTCTTATGGATGAAAATTCACACACGACCAGAAGAAACTTCAGAAGTAAGAGGATGGTGATGACTAAGAATGTGGGCTGCATGTCATAGAAAGGAAGGCTGGAGAAACATGGCACATTGGCAAATCAGTGAGCTTTGCAAAAACACCATTTGTGGAGACAACTGTGCAGGAAGCTATGGGGTGGGTGGTTCTTCCGAAAGGAACATTGGCATTTGGAAGAGGCAGAAAACCTTTACAGGAACAAACAGCTCCAACATATTGCTAGAGTCTCCATGTAGGAGAACTGTCCTTCATTAAATGCTGTTCCTTCCATTGCTTGTTTTCTATGGCTTTCATATCTTTAGCTGTTTCAGGCATGTTTTCCTGAAGAACTAAAAGTCCTGAAATCAAACAGTCGGGTGGGGACTTAAAACTGGTACATCTATTGCCTAGATACACAACTGCCATAGGGATAATAGAGGCATGCAAACTCTCGCTCCACAGTTATTTACCTCCTGCTGCATATTTGTCTGATTAAATATTTGCCATCAACCTCCTTGGTTTTATTCCAAAATTAAGTGACCATCCTTGGCTGCCTTTGGCTGATCTGAGAAGCTAAGCAGACATGGCTTAGCCAGTGCTTCGATGAGAGATCAGCTTTGGTGAAGGAAACACTTGCCTAGCTTCTAACTTGGTGCTCCCCCAATGTTGAGAGAGGAGCACATTTTTATTAGTAATGACAATATCATGAATTTATTGTGTTTTGCCTAGGCCTTTTTTAATCAAAAGGAAAATATGCATTTATTTAGTGAAACTCTGGGAAGACAGTTCTCAGTGTCCAATGGTAATAAAGAAGCATGATAAATGCAACCTGCCTTTAGGAATTCCAAGCAGTTGTTTTTTTTTCCTGGAAATTAGCTTGAGGTATTCAGTTAAACTCTTCAGGGCATGTAAGTTCTCCCACTCCTTTTGCCTAGGATCTTTGCTCTTCCTCAACCATTAAGAAACATTAATGAAAGAAGAACTGTAGTTCATATTATTCCCATGAACAATTTACGTAAGAGATACTGAGTCGCACCTAGTATTTCTAAGGAAGGGTGTTTGTGAGGAAACTGTCAGAGAAGAGAGGCAGAAGCCCCCAGTGGTTTAACGGTCAGAGAAAGAAACTTAGGAAGGATCCGCCCTAACGGATCAAGCCGTTAAATGTGGCAGGATGCTTGTATTCCCAGGCTTGCAAGATTCTGTTAACGTAGCCTTACAATAAAGTAGAATTAGTTCATGTAGCTGTGCTTCCTGTCTCGTTTACCTGGGAGGGCAAACACGGTCTGACATCCTTTAAAAAGCATGACAGAAACCGAACAAGAGAAATTCTGCACCTGGAAAGTGTGTGTAGCATTTGTTAATGAGGCTCTTTGAAATGCTATAATGAGTTTGAACCAGTTCCCATGGCTCTAATGTTCCAAAATATATGGATTATTATTGTTGATTAACTCAGTGCTACCGTAGGTCATAATCCTGTGCATCATTACACTGGAGTAATAAGCAAAGAAGAATTTGCATCATTTGCAATATCTGACATCCAAAGTCTAGGATTAATGTTAACTAATTTAAGAAATCAAGTCTAAGGTGTTGTTTGGCTACATTTTTAATGCCAAGACAATCTAT